TAAGTGTGGAAAAATTAAATTCTCTTCTTTTATCGTAAACTTTAATAAAACGGTAATCAATAATATGTAAATCAAGGTAGACTATATCATGCTGTTCTGTATTGGTTTTATTAAGTTTTAAGCAAGCAGGGTAGATATTAGCGTTTTCTATTTTGTTGTAGTTATTAAATGCTATGACATCATCAATATATCTATAGATGTGCTGGAAAAAGAGATTTCTTTCTTCCGTTCTGAGTGAACGTACATAGGTTTAGTTCTTTAGTGAACAGGAATAATTCACAAACTGAAGTTGAAAAATTCCCGCCCATAGGTATTCCCTGTACTTGTTTATAGATGTAATTGTCAAACTGAATAAAATTATTGAAGAGAACGCTGGTAAGGAATAGCTGCCATTTTTCGTTGCTGAGGCGTTGCGGCTGTGCCCTTTAGTCACCAGCAAAAAGTCATCGGCATAAGCCAGTATTTCCGTAGAAGGATCTGTATTAAAGAGATTCGGCGCAGTGTCGGCTACAAGATTGGACCCAGACAGGATACTTGAGGACAGCTTCTACTGATGGATCGTGAGTGCACTCCTGCGTCTGTAGTGGCTTGTAAGCGGTGATCACTTAGGTAGCTGTAAATAAGGTCAAAGAGGATCTTAGGGCAACCCATGTCCTGTAATCTCTTGAGTACGTCGGGCCACCACAACGAGTCGAAGGCGCCCTGTATGTCTACAGAGATAATGAGACTATACTGGTTATTTCTTCTGTTATTTGCTATTATTTTTCGTAGGTGCTGCAGCGTGTGATCCACCGATCTGCTAGGAATGAAGCCGTATTGCCTTTCACTTATACTTTGTCCAGACAGGATACAGTGTTTAAGTCTTTGAAGGACGACTCTCTCTAATACTACTTTACCCAAGGCAGGAAGGAGACAAATAGGTCGATAAGACGTTGGTACATTAGGGTCTTTGTTCGCTTTAAGGATGAGCACCACCTCACCAAGTTTCGTGCCGGCTGGGAAATATCTGTTACGCCAACACGCAGTTATGTAGGCATACAGTAACACCGGATGCGTACTGTTAATGGCTTGCAGAATGCCTTTATCTATCTGGACCTGGGACTTTATTGATGTTTAATGCTTTAACAATGTCGCTCATTTCTTTTGCGGTTTGCAGCGGTTCTGTTTTCTTGCTATTGTAATATTGTTCAACACTGGCTCTGATATTTCTTTTGTGCGGGATTATCTGTGTCTGCGTTATCAGGTCTGAAGATATTGTCCAGAATGTGCGCGACTACTTCTGTGCTAGTTGCTGCTCCGTAGCTTATTGTGGCAGTAAGATTAGAAGGTGTAAACATCATGTGCGATACGGAAGACAGTTCCGATCTTATTCGCAGTGCTTGTACAGTACTCTTTCCAGGATAAAAACTTCGCTTCTGCAATCTTTTTTTTTTTTTTTTTTTTTTTTTTTTTTTTGTAAGCAGCTCTGTGCTTTCGAAAAATTAGCGAGTGTGTCGCTCTTTCTATAGGATCCTTGCATGCTTGCATTCTGTGCCTTAGGGCACGGACTTTGCTGCGTTCTGCAGTCAGCGTGGGGTTCCACCAAGTGGTGCATTTCGGGATTGCGTAATTTTTCCTTTTCAAGACTTTTTCGCACACTGTGAGCAATGTTTACATAAGATCTTCGTGCATAGCGTCGATGTCTTTTCCACTGTTGCAACTGCTACATTGTGCGACGAGACTTTCAATATGGGTTGAGAGCGCATTTATTCTTTATCGAAATACAAATAAACTATTAATAAGATCAATAGGTTATTTAAAATGTATTCCACATAATTCCTCTTTGCTCTCATTTATAAAATAAAAATTTATCTAATGAAACAAAAGCCGTTTCTCTTCTCTGTATTGAAAGCCCACAAGGTGCGTTTGGCGTTCGTTTTAAAGCCTACTGGGCGATACCTCGTCATTCCGAAAATGACCGCCAAGGAGATGTTTCATCCAGTGAGAGCAGACCGTAGAAGAAAAGGTCCATAGGGTTTGCGAATATGCGCGTTAAATTGGCGAGTAATCTTATAGTAAGTTGTCGTCAGAGACTAGTTTCTTAGTAAGAAAGTTTATTAAAAAAACAGAAGAAATAAATTATTTCTGGCTAATGGTCTAAAAAGCAAAGAAGAAGGAAGTATCTTTACTGGTAAAGGGCTATTTAAATTTAAATAGGCCCATAAGTTAGAAACAGAATATACCAGATGCCAGAAAAAATTGTAATCTACATTATATACAAAAATTAACTACAAAATTTACAAATCTTTAACTAACAGACATCCAACTTATTTCACCTTTTAAATGTTTAGCAATAAATTATCATAACACTTTTAGTTAACAGATTTAAACTGAGTATTTAATGTTTGCTTTTTTTAAGACAGTAATTAATAAATTTATCTGGTACCAAATTATTTTTAAGAATTCGATTAAGCATTAATATCTCCTCTTGAATATCTAGTGATTCGTTACAAATATTTTTGATGTATTTGTGTTACTAATTATTTTTCTGGAAATGTTTGAAGAGCAACTTAATTTATCAGTTGCAAATTTAAAGTTTCTCCATAGAATCATAGAGTTTTATATGTGTGTAGTTAACTATCTGAAGATTTAGAAATTCGATGATGTTTTCATACATGTGAAAAAGAATACGCAGACATACAAAAAAAAAAAAAAAAAAAAAAGAGCGAATAATTGATCATAACCTATCAGAGGAGCTGAAGATATGTGTCAATTCACTTTAAAATCGCCTTTAAAAAATTGAGCACTGTAGAATAAAAGTCAACTTTTGACGTCAATAGTTTTTCACTTCTTCCAGCTTCAAATCATATACAGTTAGTCAATAAAGTCTGCGTACATCAAGAAAAGTAATATCAAATCCAAATTTTAAGGTGCGAAAAGGGTAGTTTCTTAAAGTTTTATTTTTTAAATATTTAGTTTCAATAAGGGACTTTGAAATTATTTAACTGTAATATTTTCATATCTAATAATTTATACACACTAATTTTTAAAAGATAAGTGGCCAGAAATCAAAGCCAATAAAGTTTGCGTACAACGCGAAGGAGGCCGAGGGATTTCTTATCTAACTTTTAAACTTCAAATTTGAGAATGCAAAGAAGGTTACACTTTTAAGGTCATTGACTTCCGAAGCAAATTTCACGTTGATTGGAAATTGCTATTTCTATTTTCTTTGACGAAAATGACAACCAATAAAGAAATTCCTTTAGTTACGAGACAACTAATTATCAAATTGAGAGATGAAGGTAAAACTCTTCGTTATATTGGTAAAACCATTGGAAAATCATTTTCTAGTGTGCAAAGAGTTATTCAAAACTATCTTGACACTGGTAGTCTTGTTGCTGTAAAACCAAGATGTGGGAGACCGAAGAAGCTAACGCAGAGAGAAGAAAGAAAAATTCTTTTACGAATTAAACAAAATCCTAAACTTCCTGCTGCAAGCATTGCAAAAGACATTTTTTTAACTAGCAACAAGGAAACTTGTCCTGAAACTGTACGAAAAGTGCTGCGAAAGTCCGATTATCATGGACGCAAACCTAAGTCTAAGCCATACATTTCCGAGACAAATAGAAAGAAAAGAATTGCTTTTGCCAAAACATATTTAAACTCTTCGCAGGACTTCTGGAACAATGTAATTTGGTCAGATGAAAGTAAATTTACAATATTTAAAGTTAATGGCCACCCTATTGTATAGAGAAAACCAGAAACAGAACTGAATTTGAGAAATTTAAATCCAACTGTCAAACATGGAGTTGGCGGTGTGATGGTATGGGTGTGTATGTCGTTGAAAGGAGTTGGAAATTTTCACATTATTGATAAAGTCATGGATAAGTATGTTTATCTGGATATTCTAAAGAAAAATATACGAGACAGTGCCCGAAATTTAAACCTTTCTAATACCTTTATTTTCCAACAAGACAACGACCCGAATCATACAGCTAAAATTGTGAAGGAATATCTCCTCTATCACACTCCGAGACAGTTGCGTACTCCTCCACAGTCACCAGACCTCAATCCAATCGAACATTTGTGGGCAAAATTGGAGAAACGAATTCGAAAACACAATATTACGTCGCGAAATAAGCTAATCAGTTAATTGCAGGAAGAATAGTTGAAATTTACGTCGGATGACACTGAAAAACTAGTTCAGTTAATGCCCAGACGTCTGCAAGCTGTTTTGAAGAATAAAGGATATCCTACAAAATATTGAAGTAATGTAAAAAAATTATATTTTGCTTTTTTTTAAAGTGTACGCAGACTTATTGGAGGGAATTTCTGAGTTTTTTCGACAAAATATATTTTTGAAAAAATGTAAAAAGTATTACACTGATATTATTTACTTTTTATTTAAGCTTACAATTTTAGCTAATAGAAGAAAAAAAAATGCAATGATTAAAATACATTTTTCTATGCATGCTCTAAGTGTTTTTTTAATTTAAAATTTAGTCTGTACGCAGACGTTTGTGACTAACTGTACTTCATTTGGCGTTTATCTGCGAGACTGAAGATAACGATGCTAATGGTGAAATAAAGGACAAGATAAATGCTCGGACTTGACTGTATCAAAGAGAATTGCTAAAAATTTCAGATTTCAGATAATCAAATTTTATTAAGAAACTTAACAATTATTAAGAATTTATTAAGAAATCTGATTAATGCACCTTGAGATTAAATTAAATAAAAATAATATTTTTAATTATTTAGTCTATAGTATTACATTTTATTCGAATTATTTGTAAATAATTTTTTATTTTCAAACTAAACTGCAAACCTCTGCATTAAACAAATTGCTAAAAATGCTCTAATTATTCATTGAAATATACCGTTTCTAGCAAAATAAAGCAAATTTGGGATGAATTTTGAAAAGGAAGTAACTATATTTACAACATCTTTATCCTGACCTTTAAAGTTCTGATATTACTTTAATCATTTATTAATAATGGATAATTTCGTTTATTATTCAGAAATCTGTGGTAAAGACGAGCAGTATTACAACGAATGCACACCGAGCTGCCAGAATACGTGCAAGAATTACAACAATCCCCGTGTCCGTTGTGGTTGTGGACTACCGGGTTGCTTCTGCAGGGAAGGTCTTGTAAAGAATGAGGCTGGCAAATGTGTGCCTCCGAGCGCATGTTGTGAGTGACTTCTGTTTCATTATTTTCATTCTTCCGTAAATTGGATTTTTTTCTGTTGAAGTTTAACATTTAATTCACAAGACAGGATTTTGCTGTGAATGGGAATTGTGGATTTTGCTTTAAATAACATTTAAAGTTTGATTCTTGTTTCGATAAATTTTTTAACCATAACCCTCTATAATTACAAAGGCTATTAAATTCTATACCTTCATAACTAGCGAAGCAAGGACGAAGCTCAGGACTAAACTAGAATGATATTTACAAATTGCTTTATTTCTCGAAACATTTTCACTGAGAAATATTTAGGTTTATTTAATTGATTATCGAATATTCTATTTTCCTGTGCAACTTTGGTTTAACGAAATAATTCGAATACTTATTTACTAATTGTGACATTTAGCTAATTAGTTTCATAAATCAACGAATCTTTAACTGCAAATGCGGAATTGTCGTCAATGCAGATTTAAGTCTACCATCAGCAAAATGGGTTCATCGAGTACTAAGGTATCCGACCTCGTTCGGGTACCATTTTTTAAAAAATGGCTTTTATTTTAACATAAACATATTAATTTGAAGATAAGCTATTAATGAGTGAAAATAGCTTAAAACGTAATGCTAAGTAATTTTAATTTTGAAAAATAATGAAAAAAAGGGTAATTTTTGCTTAAATTTTGCCCTTACGGCAACAACTTCGGTGATCAATGTATACATAAATATGCAGTTTTTTTAAATTTGTATTTATGTTTACACTTGTTTTGTATGCAACGAAGCAAAATAATTAAATATTCATATGTGCTTGAGATATGTCAAAGTGTATAGTATTTACTGTCAAAGTGTATAGTATAATTTCCTATTATTGCATCCAAAATCTAAAAATAAAAAGTAACAATTCAACTTCTAATTAATATTTCTATAATCTTCCACTTCAGAGCTTGCATCAGATTATATGAAACATGTATAGAAAGTATCATTTAATTTTATCCATAAAATTTTGAGTTATGGCTGTTATCATTGGCAATATTTGCAGAAAAGTTTTTTTCAGAAAACAAGTGTAAAGTTTTCATAAAACAATTTCTTAGTGAAAGAAGCATCCCTGATAATTAAAATTCCCCTACTTTGTAATTGGCACTTTTTTTTTTTTCACACACATGGCACTTTTTCTTTCAAACAAAGCGTGATTTTTTTCTTTGGGTTTTTGTAAAACTTGTGGAATGCTGCCAAGAGTCATAATTTTGCACTTTATCACGTTTTCGAATTCCTTGCTCAGTGTAAAATTCAGGACACATATCTAATCTTGAAAATGCTTCAAGCAAACCTATAAATCCATCATTAAATAACATTAAATAACAGAACACTTACATTTGCTCCAAACATTAATGTTCGCAAGCTTAGGAATGTTTCTTTCAGAACCATTTGCAATAAAATGCCATTAAAACTTTCCTTGATATTTTGAGTTTTGCCATGTATGGACTTTTTTAATAACTCTTGTTTATGTAGTCAACTCCATATATGTAGGTTTAATTAAATTCAACATATATGTTGATATACCAGAGGTTTTCGGCTGATTTTTTTTTTTTTTTTCTGCAATCGCGCATTGATAGTTGCACCAACTCGTTGACTGAGGAGGGCATTGGCTTTGAAGAAGAAATACAATGGAACAAGCAGCTAGAAAAGCCTCCTGCGTCTCTATTAAGTTTCCAACATTACTGCTAATTGCAATCCCTAATCCAAGTCAGTTTATAAATAAAAGAATCAGTCAGTTTACCTTTTCCTTTCAAGGCCTACCAGCGGCCTAGTGGTAAAATCGCTGAACACTGGTAGTTCGATCCGAGGTTCGAATCCCGCGAACAGGCTGGCTGCATGGACGTTTTCGTGGTTTTCCCTATGTGTGACATGTATACGAGCCAGTTTCCCTTAGAAAGTCCTCCACGAAGGCATCCCTCCCCTTAGGCAGATAGCCCTAGTGTACTCCGTATGCTCAATACACACACACCTTTTGCTTTCAATCCAGGAGTGGAGTTTTTCTTTATTTTTCCGTAGTCTACTACTAACCCTTTTCTGTATATGTCCAATGCATTCCAGTCTCTTGATCGAATCTTTACCATATATCATATATATCTTTCACAATTAAAAACCCCTTAGAATCATTCAAAAAGTGGAAAGCACCAACTGCCTCCATACCCGAAGCTGCTTCTTTATAATTTGCAGAACAATTATGTTACGCTTTACATATGTTGTGCTGAAGATTGCATTCCATTTTGTTTATTTTGGTCCAAATGATGCAAAAATGTGACATAGCTTTCAAATTAAGCACTTTGTCAACGCTAATCGACAAAACAGCAACAGATCCATTCAACGTCGAATACCCTCTGCGCAAAACTAAATGCGACATTAAGGGGAAAAACTAACGCCAGATTCTTAACATGTATTACAAAATATCTAAACTTAGCACAAATGTTTATAATTTTTAAATTCTTGATGATAAATAAGGTTTCAGAATAGATATGCCTATTTAAACGCTCACTTCTGGCACAGAATTCCGGTTTATTCCTTTACAGAAAAATGCTTATAACTTCAGTTGTAATTAACCTATCAACAAGCAAAAACTTGTATTTGATAGCTAAAGATGTATTCCTTAAGATAATGTAATAAAGAAAAAATCGAAATTTTGACCGAAAATCGTCTTTAGTACGAGGTCAATGATCAACGAATGCAGTAAATGAGTATAAATTTTAATTGTTTTTAACTTCGATCCCGCTTTAGCTTCAATATTTAGAAAACTGGATGTGAGCTCATTTGAAAATATAGCTCTTTAAAAGGATTTTATCTCTTTTCATCAAAACTAGTTTTATATTTTATGTCTTTAAAGAGCGTTTCAGTTGATTAAATAATATATTATAATTATATTTTAATTTTTTATGAATTATATTTAAACGTTTGTTTTCCTGAATCCAGAGTGAATAGGTTTCATTTAGGTAGTTGTTTTCGAAATTTGAAGTATACAATGATTTTACTCTTATGTTGGTTCAAGGTGAATTGTGAAAAATTTTACCTAACTCGAATAAAGCTATAGAACTGTGTAGAACTAACTTTGTGCCATGTAACGATTATAGTAAGAACTGATAGTTGCTTTGATATCTGTTTGTTATTTGTTTTCAAAGTCTTTCTTCAGACATGTGCTTTCAAAAATCGGCATTCACTCTCTCGGATTTTATCATCACCGCTTCTGAAGTATTCGAGAAACCTTGATAGGGCGATCAATTAAATTTTTCGATAAGAGTTCTGCACTACTCTACAGAGCAATCGAACACTGCGCCATATAACGGTTTTAGTAAGAACTGATAGCGGAACGCAACAACGGCGACTGGAACCCAAGATGGGTGATGTGATTTCAAAACAAAACAAAAAAAAAAAAAAAGTGTTTGCAGAAATCTTAACATTTATTTTTTGCAAAAAAATTATAAATTCCATATTTAGCATTTCACTGACATACGGAACACAAAAACGACGGCGTGAGCCTAAGATAGGGAAAGTGAACGCAACATTCTAATATAAGTGTGGACCCATGGGGTGATGTTTCTAAGTCTTATATGACAGTGAATTTGCTCTTATTTTGAAGATCAAGTGGGCAAATTTTCATTATCATCGAAGTAAAATTGTAGACTTGCATGAATTACACACATACAAACAAGTATAAACTTTTCTTTATATATATATAAAGAGTTTATATTTGTATGTAATTTATATATATATACATGATCTTAAAGAATCCAGTTAGCGCAATTTCACGTATCCTGTTAGTAATTAATAATAATTGAGATGAATTTGCTTTCATTGCTTTTAAATCGCTTAGTTTGTAAATAAATAGCATAATAAATTTGAAAGAAAAACTAAATATCTTATAATTTGCTGAACGACAAAAAACTGCAGCGTGGAAGATAAAAATATTTTAATTCGGCCAATAACAATACATTTCTTTTAAATCGCTGATTTTTACTTCCTTGTACGAAGTAAAGGAAGGGTTGGTAGTGGCGAAATTTTTCCGGTATCATATTTCAACGAAAATATTCATTTTGACCGCTATCGAATATAATTTAACTATGTTTTTGCGTGACATCTGTACGGAAAGACCGAATAAAGGACTCTTTTTCCCAAAACGGAAACGGGCTACAAAAAGGATTTAAAAAGGATTCAGAAGAGTTTTTTTCGTTATGTACATATGTGTGTATGTACGTATACGAATAGAATGTTGAACAGAATATATAATGCTGAAATTTTATATATAGGAGTGCTGTAACATGTATTTGTGCACCTCCCTTTTTGGTTGCTATCGATTGTACCAAAAGTGTATATATATGTATATACCGTTACTCACTCTGTTACTCGGCTTCGTGAGCTCAGTTTTTTTTATTCTTATATGCTGGTAAATTATACATTTTTTGCTTAAAAAGTGATTGAATTATGTTTTTTTATCTGTCGGTTAAGGTTTTTATGCCTTTAGTTAATCTGCATGCAATAGATAAAGAATCATATGACATTTTTTACCTAGCAGCTATTTCTTTACATTTCAAACTTTGCAGAATAGTGATTTAAGCCAGTTTCTACACCTTCAAAGTCTCTTTACCGAGTGGGACCAAAATTAAACTTTCAGTTTTGTGCACAGAAAAATCTGCCTTCTTGTCCGCTGGCCGAATTGCTTGTTTTCCCGTTTAATTTTAATTGTAAAAATGTTTTAATTGCATTTGGTGTTTTATATTTTCCTATATTTTAAAATTTTTGATAAAGATATTTTGAAGTTTTTATGTATTTTTACCTTGCAGCGAAATGGGAAAGGAATTATTTGAATAAAAATATATCTCTAATGAAATTAATAGAAATAAGTTTAAATGAAATGCAGCCAAAAATGCGTATAATTTAATATTCCGTACAAGGAAATCATGTGGTGTACACATCAGGTTAGTTTTTCATTAAATTCGAAAGATAAATATATCGCGAGTGGC